CGTCATACGGAATGTCTCATGCTGTATGGGTCCACACAGTGCGAGACGTAGACGAGGACCAACGGGGTCAGGACACACGTGCAAACTGTCTATTCTGTCCATCCATTCGTCCATCCACCGGTCCTGGACCATTCGTCCATTCTTCCATTCATCCATTCGTCCTTCGATTCATCCTTTCGTACAACTGTCCCATCCTACAAACAACCATCCACCTATCCACCCATCCGTCCGTCCATCCTTCCGCCGGTCCGACAGTTCCTGCCTTCACGAAATCCATCCATACTTCCATCCAATCGTTCGTCCATCTGTCCCGCCATCCAGTCCTCCACCCATCTACCAAAGCATCCATCCGTCCGTCTTCTGTATAGTTCTTGGATGTCATGATTGCAATCTACGTACTATTCGCCGTCTTGACCTGCGAGTCAATCAATGTTGCCCGTTTCGTTTGGATGTCTTACTTTATAGAAATGGAGAATCCAAGTGACCGCAGCAACCTTGTCACATGCGTTGATGGGGGAAGAACACAGAGTAAGCCAAGGAAGTGAAAACGGAGTCATACAGACAACGAAGATGACGGTTTCGATCTCTTCGACGTCTATAGAACGGGGGAGGCGGATTTCAATCCTCTTCGTCGACCTTCGACAGACACAACACATGGTGCCGCTGTTGCGATCGAAAAACCAGCCTCGAGGAAACTTGGTCGACCTCGATGCATAGAGGTTGTGAGATCGAAAAGTGCGCGTGCTCGTTTGCCCGGCCACGAATGTGCCCAATGCAAACGGTTTCGTGACGCACTTTTCAAGGACACGTTGACGCCTTCACAAAGACAAGCTCATGTCGATGAGTGTTCTAGACATCGCAGTAATCAACAGAGACCACCTACCCCCCCACGGTTCTGGGAAATAGGTTTCCCGGATTCTGAACCTGAGTCTTCCTAATTTGGGAGGGCCATTACGCCTAAGGCGCATCAAGCGAGGGTTGTCATTTTTCGTTTGCGATTGTTTTGCTACCAACAACGAGTCGCTCAATGCTTATTACGTGCAATGTGTTGTGTTAGTAAACCTCGGTCAGTCACAGGCCGGGATAAAATTTGTTTTTGATCTTGTTCCCATCATCGTTTCGTGTTCGGAGGAAGTCTCTCTTTCTCTCTCTCTCTCTCTCTCTCTCTCTCTCTCTCTCTCTCTTTCTCTCTCTCTCTCTCTCTC